ATAAGGGTAGCAAATCTAAAGTGCTTTCAATACTTTTCCAATACAGATGCTAACGTGTATCTCTGTTTTCCCTTGCGAGAAGGGGAAGGTATGCTTGTAGCAATTTGAAATAGTGTGTAGGGTAGGTAGTAGATAGTTAGGGTAGTTCAGGTTAGAGCTGTATGATATTTTGCATAGTTTTAGGCAAATTTAACACTAGATTTAACAATTTAGTTATCATAAGGTCATTTCCCACTTGGAAATTCTTGGGATATCAATTTTGGGAAAAACGGATATTTTTCGAGGTAGAGTAGATTGGGTTAGCTTTTCGTGCGGCTAGGGAGATAGAGAATTATAATTATTGGAATTCACTGTTTATCAGGATTTATCTCCTAGCTCCTGTAGGTATCTGATACTGGTTGGCTGATCGAATTGATGGTATAGTTGGGAATCAGTATAAGTAGTTTGTTTTATCAGATTTGAAGCAGCCTGAAGGAAAATTTAATTACAACTTTTCTAAATTATTAAAGCTATCATTTACAGAGAATACCAATTGGGAATTTGATTAGTGTATATAGTTAGGAAACAACGTCGAATTAGAATATTAGGATGGTAGTCATAAGTTTGAGGTAAGATAAATAATTGATAGGTAGTAATTTGTAGTTTAGAACATTGCGGACGAGTTGCAAGCTATAACATCTAGGTAAGAATTAGGTATCTCTTAAGCTAGATATAGAGTATCTCATAACTTTCAGCTTTTTTTGTTCCGCTGCCTAAAATCTGGCACTTACTGGTACCTTACCTTGCTGCATCTGCGTTTGTTCTGAAATAAAGTGGGAGAATAAAAATTAATTAATCATAATTAACCTGTATTTGCATACTTACAATTTTTGTGGCTTTGAGTTGATGAACCCTCTTCAAGGGTTATGTAAACTGAAATCAAAAGAGTTAATTCTTACCATTTAATTACAAATAATTACATTCATGATAATACTTACCTGTGAAGGAAAATTCGTTTTGTTCTCAGTTTGGGAGGGCTATTTGTACGAACCTCTATTTGGCCCAAATATAAACAGGGTGCGGGGCTAGCTAGCGAATCCAGAACCCGTATTAATTACCGTAGTAAGATATTGTTGACACTGTTGATTATTTGCGGTGTGGACGAATTAATCCTATTAGTTTTTTTCTTATTATTGTTACCGTGCTTCACACCACAATTATAATTTGTAGTTACATACTAATCATATTTAATTTTAAATCGAAATACAGACGTATTAAATTCCTCTCTGCCACAATACCTAGTTTTTTTTCACCTTCATTATGCTATGCTTGGAAGAGCCTATCCTCCTTGATCAAGAGGATTTATTACCTCGCTAGATCTGGCGCCCTTAAGATTTGAGTTTTGTAGTAGCAAATACCGAACTTTACGACCCTCACGTTGAATGTTAGCCGGCTACTGAGTATAAATCCAAGTTTAGTAGTGAATTTGTATTCTCCTAATCAGATAGTAATTTTATTTCGCAGCATGCTTTCAATGCTACCTAACCTCTAACCTAACCTAACCTCTAACCTAACCTCTAACCTAACCTCTAACCTAACCTCTAACCTAACCTCTAACCTAACCTCTAACCTAACCTCTAACCTAACCTCTAACCTAACCTCTAACCTAACCTCTAACCTATTATCACCCCCTATTACCCTTCCCTTTGGTCGTAAAGGGGTAAAAGTTGTACCGGAGACTTTCTAAGGTCCGTACAAACGTGTGTGCCAAATTTCGTCAATTTTTAATTTTTTTGTCATCCCCTAAATCGCCCTCTAGCGCCCTCGTTTATATATGCCCCCGAACGTTTTATGATTGGATTTTTGCTTTTTCGACGAGATCTATCCAACGCCGGTCGAATTTTGAAAATCGGACGGTAAATAAGAAAGTTTTTTTTTTTAAATATGAAGGGGGGACCAAGGGATGATTATGAAAAAAATTTTTTGTCTGCGATTTGGACCGTAATTTTTTTGTGCGCTCTACTCGACCGGCGTTTAAGAAATAAGTAATCCGTTCCTCGATCGGCCTTTTGGTTTTTGAGAAAAAATTTTTTGAAAATTTTGACAAAATTTGGCAATCTTTGAGAGGCTGCCCCCTCGTTATTCGCGAGTCGATCTTAAAGTGTGAGGTATCGTTGGAAAGCCGCGTTCTTTGGCTTTCGAAATTGCCCCTCGACCCCGACATGTGACCTCGACTTTTCGGAGTTATTACCCCAAATGTCTCGAAAAACACTTACGGCCATAACTCCGACGTTTTTGAGAAACTTGAGTGCCCCTTTGGGTCTATCGACGCGTCTTTAAATGGCCTTTCCGACGATGTATAACTTTCGAAAATCAAACAACCCCCGAGTGTTAACCTAACCTAACCTAACCTAACCTAACCTAACCTAACCTAACCTAACCTAACCTAACCTAACCTAACCTAACCTAACCTAACCTAACGTAACCTAACCTAACCTAACCTAACCTAACCTAACCTAACCTAACCTAACCTAACCTAACCTAACCTAACCTAACCTAACCTAACCTTACCTAACCTAACCTAACCTAACCTAACCTAACCTAACCTAACCTAACCTAACCTAACCTAACCTAACCTAACCTAACCTAACCTACCCTACCCTAACCTAACCTAACCTAACCTAACCTAACCTAACCTAACCTAACCTAACCTAACCTAACCTAACCTAACCTAACCTAACCTAACCTAATCTAACCTAACCTAACCTAACCTAACCTAACCTAACCTAACCTAACCTAACCTAACCTAACCTAACCTAACCTAACCTAAACCTAAACCTAAACCTAAACCTAAACCTAAACCTAAACCTAACCTAACCTAACCTAACCTTAACCTAACCCAGACCTAACCCAAACCCAACACAAACCTTACCCAAACCTTACCTA